ATTAGAATTAGATTGGAATTGGATTGGAATTGGATTAGAATTGGATTGGAATTGGATTAGAATTAGATTGGAATTGGATTGGAATTGGATTAGAATTGGATTGGAATTGGATTGGAATTGGATTAGAATTGGATTGGAATTGGATTGGAATTGGATTAGAATTGGATTGGAATTGGATTAGAATTGGATTGGAATTGGATTAGAATTGGATTGGAATTGGATTAGAATTGGATTAGAATTGGATTGGAATTGGATTAAATTGGGTGGAATTGGATTGGAGGTGGATTCGAATTGGATTCAGGTGGATTCAATTAGTTCGAATTGGATTCGAATTCGATTAGAATTACAAAAACTAGAACTAAATTCAGTGAATTTCTTTTAGTCAGTGTTCGGATTGTGATGGTTGCTGCGACAATTCCCCTCGATTTTCTCTTAATTCATAAAATGATGGTGAGTGGGATTTGAAGATCTTTAAAGATTTAAACATTTAGAATTTAAAATTTAAAAGATTGTTTCCCTGAATCGTGGTCTTTGTCCAAAAAAAAGTCCGTTTGTTCTTTGGCGAATGGCTTCTCCGTCCGCCAGGGCCAATCCGCCAGGGCCAATCCGCCAGGGCCAATCCGCCAGAGCCAATATCTCTGCCATTTCAATCTCAGCCTTCTTTCTGGCTGTTGATCGTCTCGTTTTCGACACTCGTCACGATTTGTGGCGCATCTTTTCAATCTCTTCATCCAACGCATTGTAATCGAAGTCATTGAAGTGTAATCGAAGTGTTTGGGAGTGATTGGACGAAGAACAGTGATTGAAACCAAAGAAATCTTTTCCATATGCAGCCATTCGCCATTTGCGTGGAAAAAAGACTTTCAACTTATTTATTTGAATCTATGTTTAAGAGAGCAACAGAGAAGGGTCAACTCTTTCAACATTTGTTAGTTTGCAGAGAGCTTATCCACTTTCACTAGGATTGTTCTTTAAATTCTGATCAAAATAAACTGGTGCATGTGAAACTTAATAAAACACGATTAAAACAATTTTAAAAAGACTTTTTGGTTAAAAAAACAAAAAAGTGCAAAAGACCATGGAACTTTTAAAAGACCATGGAACTTTCAGAAGACCACCAAACTTTTAAAAGACCACGATTCAGGGAAAGAGCCTTTTAAACATTTAGAAACATTTAGAATGTTATCTTTTTCAGACTCAAAGAGAAATGTGCAGAATGAGTGAGCGATTTCTTCTCGCTACAGGTATTCCTTTTACTTTCGAAATACCTTCTCTTGCACTGAATTCTTCATTTTTCTTTGCAACATTTCACGAGAATCAGGAATTCAGTGCACCAGAAGGTGTGCGTTTATGATAAAACTTTCCAGCAAAAGTACAATCCATAAAGTAAACTCCATAAAGTAAACTCCATAAAGTAAACTCCATAAAGTACACTCCATAGAGTACACTCCATAGAGTACACTCCATAGAGTACACTCCATAGAGTACACTCCATAGAGTACACTCCATAGAGTACACTCCATAGAGTACACTCCATAGAGTACACTCCATAGAGTACACTCCATAGAAGTACACTCCATAGAGTACACTCCATAGAGTACACTTGCAGATCATCGCCAACAACGATTCCCCTCACATTCATCTATTTGCTTTGCCCGTTCGTTTTTGTCTTCTTCATGAACTGGTTGCCAATGTTTTTCAGATTTCGTTTACTACGTCGGCAATTTGCTTACTTATTCGGGTGGTCAACTTTTTCAGGGGTAGGTGAAAAGCAAAGATCATCTGAGGAATGAGCCAAGAGCCAAGATCAGCCAAGAGGAATCTGAAAATGAAATGACTATTCCTGATTAGCTATTCTCGATTAAATTGTGACAATCTATTTGATAATAATTCAGAATGGTCACAATTTATTTGTTACAAAAAACGGTGCTAAAAGACAGCAGTCAGAGCGGAAAAGAAAGCAAGGAACGGCTATGAAAAGATCGAATAATGAGGTATCAACTTCTTCGGTGCGATAGAGGGGAAAAGAAGATTCGATTCTTGATTTCGATTGGTGCTTTGTTTGTATATTGAGCCAAACAAAGGAAATTTCATCAGAATTGTGTAAAGAAGGTCGAAAGTCCTTCCGTGTGCGTCGGAGATGTCGGGACTCGATCTGGATCGGAGTCCTGAGTCGAGGTCCGGATCCAGATCGGTGTCCGGATCCAGATCTAGGTCCAGATCCAGAGCTCCGGATCCGCTCTAGGTCCAGATCTAGGTCCGGATCCAGAGGTCCGGATCCAGATCTAGGTCCAGATCCAGATTCAGGTCCGTGATCCAGAGCTCCGGGTCCAGCACCTCCTGATCCCGATTTGGGCACCGATCATACACCGATCTTTGCCACTAACTACAGAGATCTCACAGATTACATCTACACACCAGATCCGAGCTCCGGGTCCAGTTCTAGGTCCAGATCTAGTCCGAACCAGAGAATGTCCGGATCCAGATCTAGGTCCAGATCCAGATCTAGGTCCAGATCCAGATCGGATCCAGTTTCAGGTCCAGATCTAGGTCCGGATCCAGAGGTCCGGATCCAGATCTAGGTCCAGATCTAGGTCCGGATCCAGATCTAGGTTCGGTTCCAGATCTAGGTCCGGTTCTAGAGGTCCGGATCGGGGTCTAGAACTGGCCTAGAATCCGGCCTATTTTCCAGGTCGGATCCGAGATTCGGAATCAACCGCGTCCGAATACAAATGCTTTTGACATTGATTCTACCCAAAATTACAACTCTTTATATCCATGGAAAGTTTAATTGATAACTTTTTTTCTATAGAATTATATAGAAAACAAAATGGAGAAACCTAGCAACAATAACTCTGTTTTGATTAAGTAGTAAATTAACGAAGGGAACAAGCATTTTTAGAAAGTTTATATGTCGTAGCCGATTATGAATTTCAGTTGGTTATGAATGAGTAGTCTGACGGTGTTCACTCATCGGGTATTTATTAAAAAAAACGCAGAATCACACAATTATGTAAACTTTAAAATTAGAAAGATTGAATAAAAGAAAAATTATGGGCCCCAAAGTTTCCTCTTAAAACAAATGTTTTTTGTTTCTAATCTTTTTTCTTTATCCACCTTTTCAATTTCAAAATTTAACATAATTATCAATGATTCTATGTTGAATGATACCAAATACTTGATGGTTGGACGTCTTAGACCCACTCATTCATAATCGGCTACGACATATATAGTGGACCCATCCGACCTGGGATTTGGATTTTTCCTGATCGAAACCCGTCTTTTTTGAGATCCGCAAGATTTGGAAGACCTGGAAGATTTGGAAGACCTGGAAGATTTGGAAGACGTCGAAGATTCTTAAGACCTGGAAGATTTGGAAGACCTGGAATACGGAAGACCTGGAAGATTCTAAAGACCTGGAAGATTTGAAGACCTGGAAGATCTGGAAGACCTGGAAGATCTGGAAGACCTGGAAGATCTGGAAGACTCGAAGATTTGGAAGACCTTGGAAGATTTGGAAGACCTTTAAGATTTGGAAGACCTTGAAGATCGACATCTGGAAGATCTAAAAGACCTGGAAGATCTTTAAGACCTGGAAGATTTTTAAGACCTGGAAGATCTGGAAGACCTGGAAGATCGGGAAGATCTGGAAGATCTGGAATCCGTTTCCGGATCTTTTTCTCGATTCGCACATCTCTAGTGTGCATCTCTAGTGTCCAAACAATAAAAGAAACACTTTTCTCCAATGACACTTTACCTTTCTTTACCTTCTTCAATTCCTCTTCAAACACAGAATCTCATAACTTTTCTTGTTCTTTCTTGTTTTAAGATTAAGCTGAAAGTTGAGGAGATAGTAATGAATAAAAGTTTATTAAGAAAAGTTACACGAAACCTGTTTGAATACATTGAAAAAACAAAGAACACACCAAAAGTGAAAGAGAGGTCATTTTCAAATCTCAAAATGTTCATAATACTTGATGTTTTCTAAAGACTATCCTTTTTCAAAGTTTTTTTCTTTAAACCAATGTAATCTTGTCTCAATCTTGTCTTCTCTTTTCCAATTGATCTACTCTTTTCCGATTCTGTTAGGGATTTAAAAAAGGATATCAAAATCTCAAAATCAAAATCAAAATAGCTCGATAGCTTAGCTCTTAGCTCAATAGCTTAGCTCTTAGCCCGGATAGCTTAGCTCGATAGCCTATCAGTGAATAGAAAAAGTGAATAGATTTAATGAAAAATAGAGACAAGATTACGGTAGTTTAAAGAAAAAGGCATAGGCTTTAGGTAGTTTATGGAAAGGAATAGGTTTTAGGAAACGAATTATATTACATGGTATGGTGCGCCTTAAAACCCAGATTTGTGGGATATGGGATATGGAGTATTTATAGAGACTGTAGAGCAAAAGATGAATATTATAATAAATTGAATAAACTATCTCGAAACATTTGGCAACTAGAGGCTGCGAATCTACAGTGATGGGTAAGACGAAGAACAAAGAACAGCTGCTGAGGTAATAGATCAAAGGAATAGTGAATGACTTAGAGAAAGAGCACTAATAGTACCCACAGCTGGCTCTAAGAGTACCCTTTGCTAACTGAAGAAGTACTTACAGCTGAGCCTAGAGTACTTGCAGCTGATACACAGTACTCACAGCTAGCTTACAAGAGTGCTGAAAGAAAGTCTACCAGAGACCCACAGATAGCTTATAATACCTACAGCTAGCTCACAGTACTTACAGCTAGCTTACAGTACTTACAGCTAGTCTACAGTACCTACAGCTAGCTTATCATATCACCTACAGATAGTCCTACAGTACTTACAGCTGGCTTACAGTACCCATAGCTACGCTTACTTAATGCTTTAGTTATCGTTAGTTGGAGTACAGTTTTTTACCAACTACAAACTTTTTCTCTAATAATCGATTGGTTTCCAATTGTCGGGCCAAAGATTTACAACAAAATCTGGCTCAAATTTTGCTGTATTTCGTCTCGATAGAAGACTCCTTCACCCCTTGACACAGCACCCATCCAATAACCGTATGTTGAATCGAAGCTGGAAATGATCTTAGCTTATTCCCTTGTCTTTCTTTTTTCTTTCTTTCTTTTTCTTTCTTTCTTTCTTTCTTTCTTTCTTTCTTTCTTTCTTTCTTTCTTCCTCTCTTCTTCCCTTGTCTTTCTCTCCTTCTCTAGCAAGTAGGTATCAATAATTAATTAATTAAAGTAATTACCTGAAAAGCAAGGTCAAAAGGAAAGGCTGAGAGTTCAATCCTCTCTCTGGGAATCTACTTTCCTTGTTAATTCTTTTATTGATCTATTGGTCAATTATTGATCAATTCCTTTATTGATCGACCTTTATTGATCCTTTGAACCTACCAGTTAACAAAGTTGTATCACAATAGAGCTTTGCAAAGGCCCAATCGATCATTGATGGAAGATACGATGGAGAGTGGATGACTGTGAGATTGATTTTACGTCGAAGACTTGCTTCTGAAAGTACGATTTTACAGTAAGTAGCTCTGGGATTACTGTAGCTTCGAACTGTAATTGCTGGGATTACTGTAGCTGATGGATTGCTGTAGCTAGTCGGGTTACTGTAGCTAATAGCTGTTGGATTGCTGTAGCTAGTCGGGTCACTATAGCAGATAGCTGATGGACTACTGTAGCTAGGGTTACTGTAGCTGATAGCCGATTACTGTAGCTGGTCGGGTTACTATGACCAATAGCCATTAGATTACTGTAACGGGTAAGCAGAAACCAAGACTCACTCGCGAAAATCTGCCTCGCCCAAGCAGCATCTTGTCCAAGGATGAACACTCGTACCTGTGAGATCCCCCGTTTGTGCACTATAATGAGCTTTTCTTTTCTTTATTTCTACTCTTTCTGCTCACTTTTTCGAATCAAATATTTTGTGGCATCAACAGTGAAATCGGCTTCAGATTCGAGATGGAATTTCTCTTTCATGAAGTCACCGCGACGCACGTGAACACAAATACTAAAATGGAAAGATTCAGAGATGTTCCACTAAGAGCTGTAGGCTGGATCTGGCTTTTAATCTTGTCTGCTTGTCAGCCCAGGCTTGCTTGTCAGCTCAGATCTGCTTGTCAGCTCAGATCTGCTTGTCAGCTCAGGCTTGCTTTCTAAAGTCTAAGTTTAAGCCCAATCACTTGTAGTCTCTAGTGGCCAGGTACGTCAGGTAAAACCAAGCCAGGCCTTCCACAAGAACCAATGTTTGTATAGAATTTAAAAGCAAGACTAACTTATGCGTTTGTTCATCGATTTTCTCGGGATAAACGCTCGACTTGGCCACATCGAGTAGTTGATTGGAGAAAGCGAGGCGTCTCTGCAACTCGGCTGATCCCATCAGCTCATCGATGAATCTCACATTCTAAACAAGGTCAATCTAAATCTAAATCTAAATCTAACTCTAAAAACAATTAAAAGATTAAACCTGTAAATAATTAAACTGAGTGTTGACAATTCGATGGTGTTGAACTGATTGAAATGTTGAAATTGGATCGAAATAATCAAAGCATTCATGGGCTGGGTATTTTGAGGGATACGGGATGAAACGCTGGAAAATCTTGATGTTTTAATGAATACGAGAGACAACTCTAAAGAAAGGTTTTGACTTGCTTAGTGCCATACCTGGTTTAGACTGGGTTTAGTGGCTTTAGACTGGCTTTAGGGGCTTTAGAGTGGATTTAGACTGGCTTCAGACTAGCTTTAGTGGCTTTAGACTGGCTTTAGATCTAGATCACCAGAAGCTAGACCAGGTCCGGATCCAAGGGACTCTTGTAGACCAAGCCATAAGTCGACAATGCCAATGACCAAGCCATAAGTGATCAAGCAGGTCCTAGCCTCACTTCTATCGCTCATTCTTGGTCTGGCTTTGCTTTAGATCTCGGATAGGCTTCGACCTAGCTTACAAGCCAAGGACAGGATTCTAACCGACTCTAGGCCAGGCCAGAAAAGGAAAGGCAAGGCCAGAGTCTAGCTATACACCTAGACTCTGGCCAGCTCTAAATCTAGCTAGCTCTAGAACTAGCTAGCTCTAGAACTAACTTCTGGTGAATCCAAGGAATTTTCTAGATCCGGTCAACTCACGGGTCTTTTAACGATCAGAAATCCGTCGACCAAGTGCGGCATGTGCTCGACAAAAGTAGCGATTTTCTCCAAACATGTCGAACTGTCCGAGTAGATTGCTGGGGATCTAAAGGAAGATTATGCAAAATTTGTGTTCCGTTTATGACTCCACCAAATCGAACCTATACAATTTCCTGGCGATCTCTTGAAAAGCAATCAGCTCAAAGACAACATTGCCCACTCCACCACCAGTTGTCGTGTCGCACGCTATCAGTTGAGCAGCCAAAATGCGTCGATCACTTTTCTCAGCCAAACGCATTCCATGCGGGATTCTGAAAGCTTTGTTTATGATTTTAGACTCTAGACTTTTTGTCTAGAGTCTAGAGTTTAGAGTCTAGAGTTTAGAGTCTAGAGTCTAGAGTCTAGAGTCTAGAGTCTAGAGTCTAGAGTCTAGAGTTTAGAGTCTAGAGTTTAGAGTCTAGAGTTTAGAGTCTAGAGTTTAGATCACTCACACTTTTGGATAATCTGATTGATCACCGCGATCGATCCACAAGAAGAGGGTGATTGTTAGCGAGAGGAGGAAGATGATCGAATGATAGCGAGAAATCGATGAGATCACCCCATGCCATCTCCTCATCACATTTGCTAAATGGTGAATGAGTTTTGATAAAAGAAAAGGCTTATATACAAGGCTTTGAAAAGGTTTGATCAAAATTTCACTGAAAAAGGAAATAAGTCAAATTTGGATGGCAATTGCTTGATTGAATAAGGAGGATCGAGTTCGAAGAGTTCGAAGAGGTGGAAGAGTTCGAAGAGTTTGAAGAGTTCGAAGAGGTGGAAGAGTTCGAAGAGTTCGAAGAGGTGGAAGAGTTCGAAGAGGTGGAAGAGTTGGAAGAGTTTGAAGAGGTGGAAGAGTTGGAAGAGTTTGAAGAGGTGGAAGAGTTCGAAGAGTTTGAAGAGGTGGAAGAGTTCGAAGAGTTTGAAGAGGTGGAAGAGTTCGAAGAGTTCGAAGAGGTGGAAGAGTTCGAAGAGGTGGAAGAGTTCGAAGAGGTGGAAGAGTTCGAAGAGGACTTCCTAAGATCTAAGGCGAATCTAAGGCGGTAAGATTATGAAACAAACTTTCAATTAGCTGTTTTGTTTTGTGATTAGCTGTTTTGTCTTCCAATTAACTGTTTTATTTTGCTGTTGTTTTCATTTGCTTTTAACTAACGCTTATTTTTAGATACGAAAAGCAAAAAGGATTTCCACCAGGTCATAATTTGATTGTTTAGAAAACGAGTGATGGAGATTGTTAAAAGAGTCACTGTTTCAAAAGCCATCGTTACGAAGAGACGGAAAACAACGACGATCGGGTTCGAAGAGGACATCCGAAGATCTAAGACAGCCCCAATCAGGCAAACAAGTTATTGAACCTCTTAAATGAACCCAATGGCTGCAAAGAAGTCAACTCGAAAATGGCGGCATCCATTCGATTCGCAGATTGCTCCGTTCTTCTTAAAAAAGTTCTTCTTCTTAAAAACAAAGCCAGAAAAAATGTAAACGATCATTTGCTTAAGGATCCGATGAAATTAAAGCGTCTTGCACGTGCTAAAGTGCTTCAATGACGCACAGAGAGTTCACAAAGATCAAAGACAACATTGCCCACTCCACCAGCAGTTATCGCTATCAGTTGCTGTTGATCACTGTCTGTTGATCACTGTCGAGATCACAGCCAAAATGCGTCGATCACTTTCCTCACCCAAACGCATTCCATCAGGATTCTGAAGGCTTTGTTGATAATTTCATGATCTAGACTTTAGACATCTAGACTTTAGATCACTCACACTTTTGGGTAATCTGATGAGAAGTGGTTTGACATTGAACAAGCTCATAATCAGAATGATCTAAGAATTCTTTTGGACATTGGTTTGACATTGAACCAGCTCATAATCAGAATGATCCAAAAACCCTTTACGATTTAAAGAAAGATTAATATCTAGACGACAAAAACCCCAACAAATCGTTCAACAAATCAACAAACAACAACAACAAATCAAGTAACTCCGTATGATTCCCATTTGTTTCCTTATAGTTCCTTATGGTTCCTTATAGTTCCTTATGGTTCCTTATGGTTCCTGTTTGGTTCCTGTTTGGTTCATATTTGGTTCCTTATGGGCCCTATTTGATTCCTATTTGTTTCCTAATGGGTCCTATCTGATTCCTGTTTGGTTCCTATTTGTTTCCTATTTGTTTTCCTACACTGGAAACACTGATATTTATTTTCATTTATGTAAAAATGAACAAAAACAAGTACATCTGCTTTAAAGATGTTTCAAAGATGTTTCAAAAAATCGTTCAACCAGGCACAGCTTCATTTTAGCCAAAATTCTTGAACATATCAGCAGGACTCTGCATCTCACAAGGTACGAGAAACTCAAGACTGGACGCTAAGAAATTCCAGATTGAATCAAATGATGTCAGCTCACAGACTTCTGGTGGCCATTGACTTCTGCTGGCCATTGACTTCTGCTGGCCATTGACTTCTGGTGGCCATTGACTTCTGGTGGCCTCGAAATCTTTGACTTTGACAATCGACTTTCCCAAGCGCTTGAGAAATCAAGATAACCATCATTTGCAGCAAGAAGTTGCTGCAAATGATTGCCAGTTTGAGATTTAAAGATTCTTTTTCTTGTACTTTATTTCTTTTCCGTAATTTTATGAATAAATTGTTGGTCAATAGAAAAATTGAAAAGTTTCTCGTTAATTCTCATTCATTTTCAATCTCAAAAGACCGCAATCTCAAAAGAATCGTTTGAAAGAATAAAAAACAGTTGTTAAGACTTTGATTACGATAGTTTTATATAGAAATGGCGTTTCAAAAACGTTCAAAAACGTTTCAAAACGTTTCAAAACGTTCAAAAACGTTTCAAAACGTTCAAAAACGTTTCAAAACGTTCAAAAACATTTCAAAAGCTTGTAAACAAAAAAGAAAAGAAAGATCTAAGATAAATAAAACGAAAGAGTGAAATTCGATCAAATATTTGACACATTTTGAATTGAATCAAAGAAAAAGTAAACATATGACTGGATTGGGAAAAGAAAGATAGAAAAGAAATGAAGAAAATTGAGAAAATGGCTTAAAAATTTGAAAATTTCATGTAGAAAAGACTTTAAATGTAACAAGAAATTGAGATGAGATGAAAAAGAGAGAAATGAGGCGGAGATTGAGATCATTTTTCCGATTTCCATTCACCTCATTTCACCTTGCCTCAACAATGGGAATGGGATGATGAAATTGAGCATTGAAGTAAAGAATCATCCTTAGAGAATGATCTCGAGACGTTTTCATGTTAATTTTGAATTACTGTCCCAAATTTTAAATGTTAATTTTCGCGCAACGTCGCAATCCAATTGACGTCGCCGCCATTTGGAGATGGGAGCGCCGCGTAGTCGTTTCTTTTCATTTTTAAAGAGAAACACAAAATTTATCGCGTAAAACAATAATTTCAATTAATATGACAAAAGAAATGAAAAAGAAACGACGACGCGTCGCTCCCATCCACTACCTCCAAATGGCGGAGACGTCAATTGGAATGCGACGTCCTCGGCTCCCAAATGCTGACAAAAACAAAAACAAAAACAAAAACAAACAAAAAAACAAACAAACAAACAAACAAACAAACCAACCAAAACAAACAAACCAAAACAAACAAACAAACAAACAAACCAACCAAAACAAAAACAAATGATTTGAAAACAAAAAAGAAACGACGACGCAGCGCTCCCATCGACTACCTTCAAATGGCGGCGACGTCAATTGGAATGCGACGTCCTCGGCTCCAAATTTTTGTTTTCAAATCATTTGTTTTTGTCGAGATAGTTTTCGCGCAACGTCGCATTTCTATTGACGTCGCCGCCATTTGGAGGTAGTTGATGGGAGCGCGTCGTCGTTTCTTTTTTGTCGAGATGGTTTTCGCGCCACGTCGCAATTCAATTGACATCACCGCCATTTGGAGGTAGTTGATGGGAGCGCTACGTCGTCGTTTCATTTTCATTTTCTTGTCATATTAATTGAAATTATTGTTTTACGCGATAAATTTTGTGTTTCTCTTTAAAAAAATGAAAAAGAAACGACGACGTAGCGCTCCCATCAACTACCTCCAAATGGCGGCGACGTCAATTGGATTGCGACGTTGCGCGAAAATTAGCATTTAAAATCTGCGACAGAAATTCAAATTTAACATAAAAACGCCTCGAAAAACATTTTTTTCTCTCCGAAGATCATTTCTCTACTACTAAAGCTACCCAAGTTCTGGCCTGATCTGGGCTAGTAAATTTGAGCTTTGAACAGGTCTGTCCAGGCTCGGCTTCTAGATATCTGTGAATCAAGTGAGGCCAAGTTTAACCGAATTCTTGTAAAGATGGAAATTCTGAGTTAATGAAAAGCTTAGCAATCCGAATCGATTCGAAAAAAAGTAAATTTCTTGATCAAAAATATTAGTAGATTGTGTGCAAATCAGTGAAGAAAAAAAAAAGAGGAGAAAAATGAAGGCGATTTCATTCGAATTTTTCTCTTTTTCTTTCTTTCATCTTTTCTTCTGCTGTGGACAGACTCAAAGGGAAAACTGATAACAATTTGATATGTTTGAAAAAGGAAAAGATGAAGAAAAAGGGGAATAAAGAAGAAATTGAACCTCGAGAAGGAAGAATCGACTTTTTGTGGATTGGAATAAACCAGACAAATCGCTCCACCAACTAAAAACGGCCATGCACCACCAACCACCGAATCAAAAAAGAGCTCTCAGTCTGTCAATCCTTACAGTGTCCGGGCCGGATGAGATTCTAGAAGAAGAAGAAACGGGATCTAGTCAAAACAGCGCCTTTCAAAACAGCGCCGTTCAAAACAGCGCCTTTCAAAACAGCGCCTTTCAAAACAGCGCCTTTCAAAACAGCGCCGTTTAAAACAGCGCCCATACAAAGATAATGTTAAATTGAAAAAGATTTCGATAAGATTTTTCAAAATTTCAAATGTTTTTGAACTTCTCAACAACTTGTAACTTTTGTTATATTTAATTTTTTACATTTTACATTTTACATAACATGGACATTTTATGGACATTTTAAGCAAATTGCGCTTGTTTTTAACAAATCGATCGATTATTTCATCATCAGAATCATGTTTTATAGGTCATTTTAAATAAACAATGCTATATATTTTGTTTTTCGTTGTCTTTAAAGAGTAGAAGGGTGCAAGTGCAACGACCCTTCTATTCCTTCAGGCGACGTTTTTTTTTTCTGAAACGTTCTTTCTGAAAAACACAAAATTAAGTACCAAGAACAGTAAAAACAAGAAAAAAAACGTGATTTCCATAAATGCACTTAAGTATCTTAGGATCAAAGTATCTTAAGATCAAAGCATCTCTGGTAGGAAACTCACCTCAGCCGTAAAAGAATCAGCCTAGCCTGGGAGCCTTGTAAAGCCTCAGCCTTGTAAAGCCTCAGCCTTGTAAAGCCTCAGCCTTGTAAAGCCTCAGCCTTGTAAAGCCTCAGCCTTGTAAAGCCTCAGCCTTGTAAAGCCTCAGCCTTGTAAAGCCTCAGCCTTGTAAAGCCTCAGCCTTGTAAAGCCTCAGCCTTGTAAAGCCTCAGCTTTGTAAAGCC